AGACTCCACAGCCTCATCAATATTGTCACATGCTTTGGTTTTCTAATGACCCTGGTGTTGGGGGCCTGCTCCGAGGGGGGGGGGCGGGGGGGCAGCTAACGTTACAGCAGCTAACAGCACAGCAGCTAACAGCACAGCAGCTAACCTTTGATGGTGTTGTTTAATGTTACAGCCAACACCACAATGAAACTGCAGTACCTGAGCTGTGGTACTCACTGTACTGTACTCTGTACTGGAGTACTAGAGTACTGGCGTACTAGAGTACTGGAGTACTAGAGTACTGTACTGGAGTACTAGAGTACTGTACTGGAGTACTAGAGTACTGTACTGGAGTACTAGAGTACTGGAGTACTAGAGTACTGGAGTACTAGAGTACTGGAGTACTAGAGTACTGGAGTACTAGAGTACTGGAGTACTGTACACGGGTGGATTTGCGAGTAACGTGGGATTTAAGACTGAGCAGTACACGGGTGGATTTGTGAGTAACGTGGGATTTAAGACTGAGCAGAAATCACTGGATTATAATTTTATTATTTAAGGAAACTGTAATGAAGCGACACTTCACCACTGCTTCTCTGTGTGTGTGTGTGTGTGTGTGTGACTGTGTGTGTGACTGTGTGTGTGTGTGTGAATCACATGTATAAAGAACCAGACCTTGTTGTTGTGACGACGACGTTCTGTTGTTTTTTCCTGACTGAGGTTCGGTCACAGCAGACACAGGCCACGGTTTGAGCCCACTCTGAGTTTCCCTCTGCCTGAGTCTAGAATGTAGACAAGATGACATGAACCAGACCGTCACTGCACACACACACACACACACACACACACACACACACACACACACACACCATCTTCATTTCTAATTCCCTTCTTATGTAACCACTAAAACAGGATTTTCTTCTTCTTCTTTAGAATTCCTTTTCCTTATTTGTGTCTTTCTGTACACAGATTAACCAGATTAACCAGATTAACCAACCCGCCCCCCCACACAGCTCCATGCCAACATTAAGTGGAGATCAACAGCTTTAAACCGGCAGCTAAAAGCATTAATCAGCTGCATTGATGTACAGAGGCCAGAGGAGGAAACAGAGGGGGGGAGGGGGGGGGGGGTCACAGAACCAATCAGGCGGTTGTCGGAACGCTCACCCAACAAAACAGAACTTTTACTTTTCCGTTCTTTTCTTTGATATTTGTTCATATTTCTATACTCGTGCTAAATGGATTATTAAACTGAGGATGAAGATTAGGATTCAGTCACTGTTGTTATTCCTGATGAGGAGCAGACGGTTCTGAAGTGGGGGGGGGGGGGGGGGGGGGGGGGTGGTGAAGGTGCAGTGATGGTCTTCAGAAAAAAATGTCCCAGTTGTTCAAACTTACACACACACAATCTTCTTTTGGAATAAAAATAAATAAAAGTTTAACGCGGCCGCTTGTCTTTTATTTCCACAGGAACCGGAACTGTTTGATGTTTACTTTTCCTGCCACTGAAGGTTTGAGGAATTCCAGTGCTTTTCTCCGCTGAAGGTAGCAGACATGCTAACACACCAGTGGTTCTCAACAACAAAGATGTGGTGCCTGTTTAGTTGAACACAACACAGGAGTAGAAGAAAGTGACATTGAACATTTCTTGTTTGTTTGTTTGTTTGTTTGTTTGTTTGTACATCCTGTGGTGTAAATGGAGAAGTGAAAGAGTTTTTGAAGATGATCTGAAACGTCCTCCGTCAGAAGAAACAAATCCTTTTTCAACATTCGACAAAAATGCTCCAAAATCCTTGACCATGTTTCACAGCTCAGATTATAATCTGCTCCGTCCTCATCACCTGATCACCTGATCACCTGTAGAGGAGCACACACACACACACTGTTTTTTTTTCTTTGTTTGTTCATAAAAAAACAAACATCCAGGTCAAAGGTCATGCAGTAAGGAGGGTGTCTCTCTCTGGGGGGGGCGGCCTGCTGGACCTGTTCAGTCAGTGACCCCCCCCCAATTAACTCAGTGTTATCCTTTGTTGACTGCTCATTGACCTACAGTAACCCCCAGGTGTAAAAAGGTGCACATGTGCCCCCCCCACCTTAACTACCACATCTTTAATTACCCGCCCCCCGTCTGTACCAGGCGTCTATTTACGACCACAGGATATTACAGAGAGCAGATCATGATGTCACTTCCTGTCTCAGCGCGAGGTTTACAATCAGTTCATGCTAGAAAATAATTGGCTCTGATGTCACGGGGGGGGGATGTAGGGGGGGCTGCAGTGAGAGAATAAGAAGGGAAATGAATGGTGTCCAGATTTAGAATTCACATGTGATGATGTCACAGGTCAGGAGAGTGAAATCACAGGATTGGTGAAGGTGAAGGTTTGACTCCGAAGATTAAATCTAAGACTGAAGTTAAACCTTGAACATTTATAAGAAACAGGAAAAGTTCAGACTAAGAAGAGTGGAATAAATATAAATAAAAAAGTCCTTAGAGTTTGTGAGGGGAGAGAGAGAGAGAGAGAGTGCTATAAAAGTGAAACAGTGCCCCCATGTGGGGAAATTACGGAAACATTTCCGAATCAATGATTGTTTAGACAACACTGGACTGGAGAACATTTTGTTTTGAAAGGCACCATAAAGGTATGAATACAAATTTATAGCGCCACCCCCCGGCAGGTCCCAGTAATGACAGTTTGTATTTATTTGTTGTACATGTGGACACTGGTTTGTGGTTTGGTTTCCTGTGACCAGTGAGAAGATCAGAGCTCCAGGTCACATCAGTCAGACTCATCTGGAGGACGACGCCTCGTCAGTTTCTCCAAAGACTTTTCCCTGTTTTGTTTTGTTTTGTTTTGTTTCTTAGTGCAGAGGCAGAAGAACTGGTCCGGACCAGAACTCCCTTCATCTGAGTCCAGAACCGCACACGGGAGGAGAACGGCAGCCTGGTTTCTGAGGTGAAGAATGAAATGTTGACGCTTCTCTGTGATGTTTTCTTACTTTATCATAACAAGTTGGAGCAGTTCTGCTCTGTGCATAAACCACGCCCACCTGAAATCTGACCAATCACACAAAAGTTGTCAGACACCACACTAGAAAGAAGTCCAGTCCCAGACCTGGACAGAGAGAAGGTGTCGGTTTAGTTCTTTAACGACTGGACTCTGAGAACCAGCAGGTAAAAATATACATAAATATATTCTTTATTTGACTGTTTATCTACGCGATTGTTGTTCAATCAGACGACGCCACAACTGGAATTTGTTTTCAGTAAAAAAGACATGATTTTCTCAAGTATCACAGGACAAAACCCAAGTACCAGCAGGGGTGCCAGTGCCACCATTTGAGAACCCCTGCTTTAGGGAAAATGTTAGTCAGCATTTTTAGGCTTTAAAAACAAATATATGAGTAAATATATCACAGTTATATTTGTGTTCAACAGAGCTCAGATTTTTAATCCCTGTGTTTTTTTCATCCATTATTTTTAACCTAAATATTTTTTTTTCTGCAGTTTCCCAAGTGTCCCTCAGGGGGAGTCGTTGGAGTTTTGATCGGCCTCAGTGTGAGTTCAGAGCTCACTGTCTTCCTCCCCTCCCCCACCCTGTCCTGCCTTACCTGGCCGTGTGTCCCACTCAGACACACCCAGCTTCTCCACATCAGCCAATCAGTGTCCTGCAGTGACACACCAAGGAAGTGCACTTCCTGTGTTTCGTCAGAGGACAGGGGCAGAAGAAAGGAGCCACTGCTGAGCCTTTCCGTCGTCAGGGCACAGACCTGGTCGTCCCTGGTGTCAGCTGAAGAGCCGGGGGGGGAGCTGCGCTGGGGAGTTGGCTGGATTTGGTCTCCTTTATGGGATATCTCCTGTTTTAGCTGCACTGCTTCAGAGGAAGAGGGAGGAGGAGGAGGAGGAGGGGGAGGGAAGTCTCAATCTGTTGAAACTTGTTTGGGAATTTGGAGTAGGGGAGGTGGAGAGAGAGAGAGAGAGAGAGAGAGAGAGAGAGGCAGCGAGAGGAGAAGGAGAGGACAAACATTCAGCTTTTCACAAGAGGCAAATCAAACAGGGTAAAAGGGCATTTTCTGCTGTGTCTGAGGGGGGGGGGCTGTTTGTTACCACGTCCAGATAATGTGAAGACAGGAAATGAGTTCTGAAGTGCCTTCAGCCTAGGCCGGACCGGGGAGGGGGGGGTGAGTGGATCTCCCCAGGATACCACAGAAAGGTGAGTGAACACACACACACACACACACACACACACACACAGACAGACAGACAGACAGATGTGGGTCAGGCCCAGTTGTGGTCCACATGTCACATGTTTGGCCCAGGTGTCAGTCTTCACAGCTCTCTGTTGCATTCCTTAAATGAAACAGTCAAATGGCGCCATCTGTCTGCTGTTCTCCAACCGTTTACTGTACATTTACCGTCATCTTAGGTCATGGGGGGGTGCGGGGGGGGGGCTGGTGGACACCCCAGCTGTTTGATGATGTCAACACTTGTTTCTATTGGTTTATTTTGACCAGTTCCTCTTTGAGCCACCGACCAATCAGAAGTGTTTTTCTTTCAGGTTTTCCATATTGTGGTGAAATGGGGAGTGAGAAGCCCAGCTGCCCCCCCCCCTTTGACCCTCGCTCTAACATAAATATGTGTGACCGCAAACTGCTGCCAGGTGAACAAATCTCCCGGGATCCGAGTCCCCGAGAGGAGGACAGGAGGAGGGGGACAGATGTGGACAGAGGCAGATACAAGGACACTGACCCCCGAGAGGGCGAACGACTCCCTGCACCCAGGGAGAGAGAAAGGAGACGCCAAGAGGACAGAAGCAGGATTGTACGTCCACTGTCTAAACCGGAGACGGAGAGGGACAAGGAGGTGGACGGAGGAGTGAGGAAAGGAGACACGTTTCCCAGGAAGAGAAGAAACAGCACAGACCGTGACAGAAGAATGGTTTCCACCGCGGGAACGCACGACGGAAAGAGCCAGAACGGTCAAAGAGCAAAACCCAGGAGGCTGGGAGTGGACGACAGGGAGAGAGACAGAGGGAAGACATGGGGGAGAGAGAGGTACGAAGACAGACACGTCGTTAGAAGCAGGGCTACGGAAGAGGGGAGGAGAGGGGGAGAGGGGGGGCCGGGTCAGGATGAGGACCTTAATGGGAGACAAAGACGTCCAGAGCCTGGGACGGACAGAGACAGAGACACTGGCAGAAGAAGAGAGAAGCCTAGGACCTCCGGGGGAGAGAGGGGAGTCAGGACCGCCTCCCCTCGGAGACAACGAGACAGAGAGACCTACTCCAATAGAAGGGAGAGGGAAGAGGGACGGGGGAGGGAAGGAAGGAGGGACACCAGGAGTGAGGCCGACATTGACGAGAGGGAGACAACGAGGGAGAGAATGAGGGAGAGAGGGGGGGGGGAGTTCATGTACAAACACAGTCAAAGTGATGGAGACGTAAAGGCCGAAAGAACAAGAGACGTGGACAGAGAGGGACACAGAGGAGAGGACTATCAGAGACACAGGGACAGAGAGAGAGAAGAGTACAGACACAGAAGGACAGACCAGGGAGGGGGGAGGTGGGGGGAGTGTGGGAGAGACCTGAAGGATGAGAGAGGGGGGGGGGCCGGAGACAGATGTAGAGGGACACACTGAGTCCAAGGAGAGAATATCCCACAGGCAGAAGCAACAGATCCCCCAACACAGCGCCCCCCAGAGGTACACCACGATCTCAGAGCAGTGGAGAGTGGAGCAGCAGTGATGTGGACAACGAACAGAGATACAGAAGAGGGGGGGGCAGTTATGAAGAGAGGGAGGTGGGGGGGGAGGGCATCACCGCTGATAGGAGACACGGGGGGCAAAAAAGAAGTGAGGAGAGAGAGAGGGAGAGGGGGAGAGAGAGGGAGAGAGAGGGAGACAAAGTGACAGGCTGCAGACCAGAGCACAGGAGGATGTGGTTAGAACCACAGCGGGGGGGTAAGAGAGGGGGGGAGGCGAGTGTGGTGTCACAGGCAGAGTGGGTGAGAGAGGTGCGACCAGAGAAAGAGGAACCAGAGGAGAGACACTGGGGCAGTTACAGCAGGAGAGGGGCAGAAAGTCATGATGCAGAGGGGGTGAGTGTGGATGAGGACGGAGGCTGGGGGGGGGAGTCAGAGGGAGAAAACTCTAGCCAGGGGAGTGACAGTGGGGGAGGAGGAGGGGGAGGTGAGGGAGGGGATCATTTCACTTGGTCCAAGACAGGAAGAGGAAGTGAACCAGGGAGGAAGGAGGTGAGGGACAGCATGGTGTCAGTGGAGGACGGCTTTGTCACTGTGTCCAGCGGTGGAGACGAGGGGGAGGAGGAGGAAGAGGAGGAGGAGGAGGAGGACAGAGATGAGGAGTTCCAGGACTGCCAGGAGTTCTTGGATGCTGGAGGGGAACACCACAAACACCCCGTGGGGGGAGAGGGGGGAGAGCAGCATCCCCAGTACGTCTTCTGTGTGATTGGACAGACGTTACCGCGGCCCCCCCACCATCAAAGGTCACCAGGTGATGACATCAGCAGTCAGGACCCAGAGGACACTCCAGAGGACAGAGACAGACTCCAGGACCTGGAGGGAGAATCCAGGACCAGAGCGGAACATCCCTACGAAGAGATCGGGAATTTTCAGAGAGATTCCCAAACGGAGAGACTCCTGACGCAGTGGAGGGAGAGAAACACGGGGGGGGGGCTCGCTCCGGACCTTGTCTTAGATGGAATCAGCTCTGGAACGATGAGTCCAGAAGACGTGGAGGCCATCCACATCCGTCTGAGTGGAGCCTGGAGCATGTCGGAGGAGCCCAAACGCCATTCCCAGGCCCCCCACCTCAAATGGGCTAAAAATGTGGTTCAAGAAATCCTGGGCAACTCGGAAGAAGGAATCATAGGTGAAGCCGATTCAGCGGAACAAAATCGGCGCACGGCGGAGCCCCCTCAGCTGGAGGTCAAAGGGCATGACCCAGAACAGAAGGTCAGCGAGGAGACGCGGGACATTCCTGATGTGACGGTGACCCCGGAGGAGGTGCGCTTCGAGCCGCAGCCGGAGGAGGACGAGCCGCCGGACGTGGACGAACTGAGAGGTATGGGCCAGAGCCGGGCCGACACAAGCACACACACTCACTCTGACACACCGTTAGGCGCCGAGCCTCGTGGTCACCGTGGGATAGAGACGGAGCGAGTAGAGGTGAAGGTGTCAGAAGAGGAGGAGGACGAGGGGACGTTTTTATCTGTCAGCCGTTCGCTCTACAAACCCCACAGCTGCCCCAGCCTCAATTTTCAAAATGAATCTGACTCCCTCGCCCCCCCCAAAGAGAGGGAGAGCCGGGCAGAGGAGAACGAAAGTGAAGAGGAAGAGGAAGAGCAGGGGCAGGAGGCAGGAGTAGAGGTGGGAGGGCCAGAAGAAACGGACACGTACAGCAGAGGGCCAGAGGAGGCGCCGCAGACACCTTTAGCCACTTTGACCAGTTCCTGCAGCTTCAGAGATTTGGGTTCTTCGGCTCGGATGCGGAGGAGGGGAATCCGTAAAACCACTGAAAGAAGAAACGCAGTGCTTGTAGAGGAAGAAGAGCAGGAAGGTGTCGGCAGGGACCGCAGAACCAGAATATTCTCTAAATCAGGTAACAGCAGAAGAGGCACAGTAATCTGACCTTAAAGTGACCGCTCAACATCACAGACTGGGAATCTCAGCAGTTCCCAGTCCAATATTCCTGGTGTTGGGTCATTTTCTTTTTTTTATATATATATATATGGCACCGTTGTCCTGGTATCGTAGCGTAGCGTAGCCACAGATTCACTCCCATCACAGACTGTGTTTGAATGGATGTTCTGTGACGTCGACCGCGGGTGGGGGGGGTGGGGGGGGGACGGGGGGGGGGGGGGGGTCTCCCTGAGACATCACCACCACAAACTCACCTCTTGGTGTTTTGTACCAGGGTCAAACAGAGTGCAGTACTAGTTAAGTTGGTAACTGTTAGTTTAACTGTTGGAGTGAAGTTCAGAGTCAGACTTTAAAATATGACTGGTGTGATTTCAGACGACGAGGACGATCGAAGCAAAAGCTGGGGAGAAGTGGAGCTCAGGTGAGTAAAACACACACACACACACACACCGTCACACACACACAGGGACGTGGACGTGTTCTTCCATCTCTCATGTTTTTCTTTTCCATATAAATAAATTATTAAATGATTTTAATTTTCCTGACGACGAAGTCAAAGACGCTGCGTTGTCATTGATGTCGAACACACACTTGACCTTGACCTTTGTCAAATTCTGATTCTTTTGTTTTGTAGAACTGTTTTGGACTCCATTGACAGACAGAAACGGAATTCCGTGTTGTTCTGTGAGTACTTCCTGTTTCCTGCTTCAGGTCGAGGTCAAATGAAAACCAGACGTCACATCAGTCACTCCTTTTATTATTGTTTTTAGTTGAATTGATTTTAAAGTCATTTTGACGACGTTGATGATTAGGAACGGTGACTGACATCACACTGGAGTCACTGAATACTTACACAGCCCCCCCCCCCCCCCCCCAGATGTTTACCACGGGGGGAGGGAGGAGGGGTCGGCTGAACTGTTACCATTAAAAGAAGAGAAAGAAAGAAAGAGGCGTCCAGACCTGAACAGATTCCTCTGTTCAAACCAGCTCAACAGTCAGAGTGTGTGTGTGTGTGTGTGTGTGTGTGTGTGTGCAGACCACAGACAGGTTTCTGCAGGTATTCCTCTTTCCTGACTGGAGGGGAGAACAGCTGCTGCTGCTGCTGCTGCTGATTTACATTCCGATCAGTTTGTGTCAAAGGAATGTTTTCAGTTTTGGTCGACTGTCGATTTCTCTCTATTTCCTCGTCTGTGTCATTAAAACATCATTTTTCTCCCCTCTCTCCCCCGCTCCTCCCCTCCTGACATCAGCTGCCAAGCTCTACCAGCTGTACAGCGAGGAGGCGCAGAACTTTGAGATCCTGCGTCAGTCTCGCTCTGATGTGCTGTCTGTGTGCGAGGACCACGCCCACTCTCCTGCTCCTTCTCCTCCTCCTGCTCGTAGGCCTCTTCCTCCTCTGCCTCCTGTCCCACATCCTCACTCGTTGTCGCACACGGGCTCCGTCACCAGCGTCAGAAGTCTGCCCCTCCCCGAGCCTCCCCGGAGCGAAGGCCGGCCCTCCTCCCCACGACTCTCCATCTCCCTCACACAGTCGGCCTCGCTGTGGCGGGACCTCCCGGGGGTGAGGAACAGCAGTGAACTGCAGGAGCTGAACGAGGATCAGAGGAGACTGCAGGAGGTACACGCATGTACACACACACTTTACACACACACACACACGCCCAGGTGTAACTCCTCCTGGAGATTTACCGTTGGATACAGATGTGCAGTCGGTCGTTTACTTAGTCATTTTTCAAAAAACAGTTTCCATTGGTTGAAATTAAAAAATGAATCTCATGTCAAGGTGAAGAGTTATCTAAAAAAAACAAAAACACCATGACACTACACCCCCTGTACAGTAGGTGGCAGTAAGCCCCTAAAAAAGGTTGTTAGTGACCAGTTTGACTTTGAATCAGAGCAGATCAATGGAGATGGTCAGTGTCTGAGGGTCACAGACCATGTCAGTGTTGGTGAGGGTCACAGACCATGTCAGTGTCTGAGGNNTCACAGACCATGTCAGGGAGATGGTCAGTGTCTGAGGGTCACAGACCATGTCAGTGTCTGAGGGTCACAGACCATGTCAGTGTTGGTGAGGTTCACAGACCATGTCAGTGTTGGTGAGGTTCACAGACCATGTCAGTGTTGGTGAGGGTCACAGACCATGTCAGTTGATGATTTGACCCAGTTCTGACACACAGAGATCAGTGGATTTAGTCACAGTTTGTCTTGAAATCGTAGTAAAATCGTACCGTGAACAAAAGTCGTGACTCCTAACGTTACGTCACTTGTTGCTTGTGATCAACAGTTCAACACTTTTTACCCAGAAGCCCCTGCACTTGTTAAAACATCCCGTTTTGACACAGTCTGAGTTGAAGGTTCACTTCCTGTGCTGTTATTACGTGGAACTGCAGTTCCCAGAAACGCCTTCTCAGCTGCGTCATCTACTGGTGACTTTTGGGAAGTGACACAAATGAATCACTCTTTAACTGTTAATATTATTACACAATATCTTCACTGGTAAAATCAGTGTTGCCAAATCTTCATGTTGAGAAACTTTTTATCACCACTAGGGTGGTCTGTAGGGCAGAGGTCATCAAGTTTTAGAGAGAAAAAACACTGACATGTTCTTATTAACTAACTAACTAACTAACTAACTAACTAACTAACTAACATTTGTTTGTATCTTTTCCTGTCTAGATAAGGTTTGAAGTTGTGACGTCAGAAGCCTCCTACTGCAGAAGTTTGGACATCGTTGTTGAACATTTTGTCAAGTCCAAACAGCTGGGGGCGCTGTTGACCACACAGGATAGAAACTGGCTCTTTTCCAGACTGGCCGACGTCCGTGCCATCAGTCACAGGTGACCAGTCGGACTGTGATGTCACAGACATGGAAAGGAAATGGGTTTAACTTTTTTTTCTTTCTTTTTTTTTTAGTTTTTTGTCCAAACTTGAAGAGCGCATGGAGTCCAACATCGTCCACTTCACTGTGTGTGACATCATCGCGCGACAGTGTCAGCGCTTCAAAATGGTGTACGTGCCGTATCTGACCAACCAGTCCTACCAGGACGCCACTTACCAGAGACTGATGTGAGTGACCCGACCCCGACCCCGACCCCGTCCGTCTGTTCTCCTGATGATTGTTCACCAGTGGCTGCGTCACCAAAAACCATCAACTTTCTCAGAAATGAAATCCAAAATAACGTGTTTTTGTCCGTGACGTCTTCCTCCGTTTGTTGTCAGGAACGAGAACCCCGGGTTCAAACAGATCGTGGAGAAACTGGAAAGGAGTCCGGTTTGTCAGAGACTTCCTCTGCGGTCCTTCCTCGTCCTCCCGTTCCAAAGAATCACCAGGATTAAGCTGCTGGTTCAGGTGTGTGTAGCAGGTGTCTGCTGTGACCGTGGACTTTACATTCAGAGTTCTTACCTGGACGTGTTCTTCTACTGTCCAGAACATAGTGAAGAGAACCACTCCAGGTACTCCTGAGGCCATGCAGGCGGTCAAGGCTCTGAAACTTCTAGAGAAGGTACAGTGAGTACACGCTGGTACTACTGAATACCACGACAGCGTGGACCCAGAGGTGACCAAGGTGTGTGTGTGTGTGTGTGTGTTTGTCGCTTTTCTCCAGTTGATTCAGGAAAGTAACGACAGCATTTCTCAGATGAAAAGTATCGAGTCCCTGGTTTCCCTCAGTGCCAGAGTGGACTTCGAGTGCAGGGTGAGTACGAGTCACTGTATGTTTACGTGTGGACAACTGACGCTGTCTGTGTTAGTGATGGACTGATCACAGGTCACTCAGAGGTCACTCAGAGGTCACTCAGCCTTAAATGTAAACGTCAGTTGTCTGAGTCGACCTCAGGTGGAGGTGGGTGTCTGAGGACCCCCCCCCCCCACAGACAAACCTCCACCTGTCAGTGATTTGGTTCTTTCTCTTCTTAATATTTTTCTGTTTGTTTTAATGTGTTTAGTTTAAACTTAAGGTGAAGTTTGATCAGAAAATCGATCAATATTTGATCATGTGATCAAAGACAGGTCGATCTTAACAGGTGTTATAAATAGTAATGTGTCTCTGTGTGTGTGTGTGTGTGTGTGTGTTGCAGACCCTCCCTCTGATCAGTCAGTCTCGGAGGTTGGTGCGTGAGGGAGCGGTGCTGGAGCTGATGGATTTTTCTCTCAAAGACACAGAGAGGAGCGTTTACATTCACCTGTTTAATGATTACCTGCTGCTTTCTATACAAAAAGAGTGAGTCATTGAACGCATCAACAGCCGTGTGACAATGGTCCGGCGACACCTGTCTCTAATGTAGTTGTCTCATGTCCGTCAGGGGGGGGCGCTTCACCGTCATCGACCACTCTCCTGTGTCGGAGCTGCGAGCGGAGAACTGTCGGGTCAAACTGCACTCCTTACAGAAGAACCTGTTCCGACTGCACATGTCCAACAGAGCGCTGCTGCTGAGGACGGACAAACAGTAAGAGACGCTGCTCACTCAGTCACATGACGCCGGGACAAAACAAACTCTGACCTCTGACCTCTTTCTTCCATCCTCAGGAGCGACAAGCTGCGTTGGATATCGGCCCTTTCTCGACCCCACCCTGACATCGACTTTTCTGCTGCTCAAGGTAAACCCTTGATGTAGTTCACGTAGTTTGTCACTAGGGACACTTGGGTTTTTAAACCAGGGCTCACCGACCTTTCTGACACTTAGAACTACTTCACGGACTCGTAGTAAAACAGAGCTGTTTGTTTGACACAGAACAGTGTGATGATAAAACTCAGTTCAGACGACAGACGACTGAACGGAACTGATTCAAAAACCACAGGAACAGTTGAATAGTTGTTGTTGTTGTTGTTGAATAGTTTTCTTTTTACATCACATTTACATTGAACACACAGCGTAGGCACCTTAGGTAGTCTGGGGGGAGCGGGTGGGGGGGCTAACCAGGTGACCCTGGGCCCCACGTTGGTGACCCCTGTTTTAAACCAGTGCTGTCCTGACATCACCAGTCTCCTCCTCTCACCTCTTCGTCTCCTCTCTGCAGATTTTCCACAGATGCAGTGTATACGAGCGTTCGTCGGTCAGCAGCCGGATGAGCTGTCCTTGGAGAAAGCCGACGTCATTCTGGTGCACCAACAGAGCAGCGACCGTACGACCCCCGCTCTCGCCTCCGTTACTGATCTGCAGGTCAGAGTGACAGTGACCCTCAGTCTCACAGTTCTGACTCTCTCCTCCACAGACTGGGTCGAGGGGACGAGGCTGTCGGACCGCCACCGTGGATGGGTGCCAGAGTCCCATTTAGAAATCATAAACAATTCCAGAGTCCGTCAGCGCAATTTGTCGGACGCTCTCAAACTCACCACTGCCAGAGCTGCTGTCTGAGGCGGAGAGTGGGCGTCGACTCACCGAGGGTCCGGATGGTTCTGCTGCTGGAAGAAAAGACAGGAGTGAACTTTGCTAAGAGGCTAAGAGGTGTAGCATGTTAGCGTTAGCTGCTGATTGGTCAACTGCTGTGGTCTGCCTCAAAGACTGCTGATTGGTCAACAGTGACCAGAGGGTTTTACACAGGGGTGGGTTTGAATTGTCAACTGTATCACTGTGAACTCTGAGCGCCATCTGTGGAGGAGGTCAAAGTTCACGTGTTGTCCTGACCGCTGCTGTTTGAACTGTTAGTAATTAATCATTTAAAAGAGTTTAAAGACAAACAGAGACAGTGAGGACAATAAACAGTCACTGGGGATGAAGTGGTGTCTGGGTTTGTTTACCTGCTGCTGAAACAGTTCCATCAAAACCTGAGCTCCAGAGAAAAGGACCAAGAAACGACAAGAAGTTTCAGTCAGCGTTCCTGAGGAGGAGGAAGAAGAAGAAGAAGAAGAAGAAGAAGAAGAAGAAGGTACTGAGAGGCTGCAGCCACAGAGTGAGAACTCCTCCATCCAGTCACACACAAGAGGTCCCTGAATAAAAAGAGTAGAACCAATAAAAATGTCACCTTAACACATGTCCAC